GAGTCAGTTTCATCACTGTGGTGCTGTGTGTGGCCGATGAGATTAACCAAAGTTAATAAATAGAAATGGCTCTAAACTCCATTTCTTAAATCAGCCAATGGGACACAGCCTCATTGGAGAAACAACAGTGAAACAAATAAATATGATGAAATACTAACAGACTTTTTTTTAAAAAGGCATCAAAGCCCTGTAGCAGATACTTACTGAGATGTGATTTAAAATGTTAAAAAATTAGAGATGCCTAAAAATGCGATAAGTAAATTATGATATTTCTACCCAATGGATTTTTTAAATCATTAATACTTTCAGACATTTGTTTATAAAAGAGAAATGTGTAAAGCATAAAAAGAACACACACTTGGACATATACAATGTGGTCTTAATTATGGTTTTTAAAAAAATTTTAGAAAAAATCTGGAAGGCAATATGAAGAACATATGATGGTTATCTCTGGGATGAGATTATTGGTGATATTTGATATTGTATCCTTTTTTGCATTTCCTTCATAATTGAAGGTGAATTCTTGCTTGAAAAACTAGAAAGTAATTAAACATATACAGTTAGAATTTCCTAAGCTTTTCTAGTTTTGAAAATGAGGGAGACATGAAAATAGGGTAAAGGCTAAAGTTTTGTTCTGAGCAGCAGAGAAACCCAACAAGCCGGAAGAGAATGAACACTGACCTCGGAGAGATTGTGTCTTGCAGGTGCCATGGACATAGCTTTGGGGTCTGCTGCCACTGGGGTGTTTACCAATTCGTCTTGGCTTTGGAACAAACTATTTGAGGTAGGAATAATATATAGAGACCTAAATTGCAGATGATTAAATTCTAGCCTTAGAGTGATGTATTTCTTCAACCCCTGTGTTAAAATGATTTTTATGTTGTTGATTTGCCTTTGAATTGAAACTGCAATAAACTTGATTCAGTGTTCCAAAATTATGGGTATGATACCACCTTCCTCCTCTCCTCCAGTAGCCTCAGAATGATGTGACAATGACTCATAAATACCATGGCAGTACTGTCGAGTCTCTGAGGCAGAAAATGTAATGAGGACAGCTTTGTAAGGGAAGGAATGGCCTTTCATGAATGTGTGTTGTGAGCTAAGCGGGTGAGCCTGCAAATGGCGCTTGCCCTGGTCCATTAGTAGAGCCTGATACAGGTGACTTCCTACTGCTGTGCTCTGTGCCTCCTCCGTGCCCTTTCACAGCCAGCCTCTTCCAAAGCAGTCTCTCCCCACGCCAGCCCCATACTTTCCCTCACTGTCATCATCTGTCCCCTGCCGATCCCACTCTCTTAGCCTCTGATAACCTTCTGGTTTCCTTCTTTGCTGACTTCTGTTGCAGCCTCCTTTGCCAGCTTTTTCCTTTGTCCTCCCCTTTGGTGGGTGTTCGGACCTGGGCCTTGTGCTCTCCTTGCCATTTGCAGTCCTCGCCAGGAAGCTCACCTGTCCCTCTGGCTTCAGCCAGCGCCTCTCTGCTGGTTACCTCAGGCTCTCCTGAGCTCCAGGCCCTGTGTCTCTACTTGGCTGCATAGTGAGGCTCCATCTGGCACCTCATTCTTTCAACAAGTAATTAATGGGAAGTTACTGTATGCCAGTGAGGAACAAATACAAGATGTCCCCGAATACATTCTTGATGTTGCTTCAAGGTCCTACATTTTTTCACCCTGAACTGCTTGCCCTTCATTTTTGTCATCTTGCCATTTGTGAGGTGCTACCCTCCCAGCCCCTGTGATGCTCAGCTCAGTTGGCTCCTTCCAGGCTGGGCTACAGACCTCTCCCCTAGCCTCCCATGTGTCTTTATCACAGCACCCATGACATGATGGGGTTTGGTGGTTTTTTGGTTTTGGGTTTTTTTTTTTTTACTTTAAGCTTCTTTTTAAAAAAAAATCAAAGTGATAGGTACATAAACAGTCAACAGTTTCTTTTCCTGGAGGCATCCACCTTCAACCCTTGGCCGGTTCATCTGATATTTACTCTTTCTCAAAATAACAGCTTAAGTCGCTGTTTCCTGACTTTTCACTTTTAGGTCTTATCTTTGACTACAACGTAGGAAAACACTGGGCGCTTTGATGGCTCAGATATTAAATTTCTTTATATCTCTAAAGATTTAAAGATATGGTGCTCAGTAGACATTCAGTAAATGGTGAATGAATCGATGTGTAAATGAGGACATGAATGAATGAGGTCACCTTGTCTTATAATCAGGTCTTCAGTGGTGCAGTTCCAGGCACGCATTTCCCCAGCACACACCAAGGTGACAGGCATCACGAAGACTATTTCGCAGCCTCAACATGCTACAGGATCCCAGCTTAATAATTTAAACGGACCTAGAATATTAGTTTGATAATTTTAGCAAATACCCTACAAATTTATGGGGTTTACAACATACTTGGTTTCTTAAGTAAATGTTTTAATAATAAAAAAGTAGTTCTGGAAGCTGCTGTATAGCTTAATGTTTTAGAAGAATAGGTCAGGACAGTTCTTTTCTTCCTGCATTGAACACTTCACATTCAGTGCCGTGAATTCACTCGGATCCTCCTTCATCCAGTCTTCCAACTAGCACACTGTTTCCTCTTCAGGCCAGCGTCGAAACAGGGGACCGTGTCTGGAGGATGCCTCTCTTTGAACATTATACAAGACAGGTTGTAGACTGCCAGCTTGCTGATGTTAATAACGTCGGAAAATACAGGTATGTAAAATGAGCTATAAAAGTACATTTTGCAGTCATCTTTGGTTGCCAAAATGACCATTTTCAACTTTATTCCTTCACAAACGGTTTAACTATCCCATTTTCTTTTGATATTGTCTTCATAAACACTAATTTCTGCCTTTAATCTTTAAGGTGTTTCCCAATTGGTTCTCAAAACTTTGCATGTTTTCAAATCTGCAAAGTTTTCAAATTCATTTTAGACGAATGGTAAGGGAAGGAGAGGGATAATACGGGATTTCAGTACCTTGGGTAAAGGAATCTGGAATTGATCCTTCACTGGTTAAAGCTATGTCTGAAGATAAATATCTGGAAGTGATTTCTGGGTTAATTTCCATTAGGTCTCATGAGCTTGACATTTGCTTTCTGGTCATAGAACCCACTTAGCAAGAATGGAAGACCTTAATAAGGTGTTTAGTGCACATTTATAGGGTAAAAGAATGCAAGAATGAATGTTGTCTTCCTCTTCAGGTCTGGAGGGGCATGCACA